TATAGCTGTATGTCCCGCTGCTGTACAGGCTGATTCAGTGGTGTCACGTGGAAATGGGAAGGAAGGCCCTTCAAGGTGCAGAGCTGAATATTCCTGGAAAAACACTCCAAGTTGAATTTGTGTTCCTCGAATTCTCAAACATGGTTATTCAAGTGATACATATCCTCTCACTAACGAATCGAATATAGTGGGTTAGCGGTGTTGTGCCTCTTGGTGTGTACTTCTATGGTCCACCGATTTTTTTTTGCTCATCTTCCTATTATTCGCATGCATTGTCTTGAAATTTAGCTTTCCGTAATTTTGAGCATATGTTGATGAGTTAGCCGGTCAGCTATTCTGTGTGTTCTGTTGTTCTATTGCAACAATATTTAGAGAACAGTATTACAGCTCTATCATTCTTTCTGATTTTCAGGAACTGGAAGAGAAATCAAACGCTCTTCAGCATCAGTGCCCTGAAATCAAATGGCATTACATTGGCAAAGTTCAGTCCAACAAGGTATGGATTAGTTATATAATCAGCCTGCAGGTTTGATTTTCATTAGTGTGTTCCCCTGAAAGATTCACACTCCGTATTCCGGAGATGGAAGGGGCGTGGCGCTTTCTTCAATTGATCTTCTTTTTTTCGTGGAATATCTCCGTTTTACACACCTGGTCTCTCTTCCGCTGGACAGAGCCATACTCAAGTTGTCACAAAACGAAAATATACTATGGAAGTGCAGCCTCCGCCCTACTCGGATGAAGTACGCAGCCACGCCTTCTCTTTCTCCGTGTATACTGTGTAGATCTAATTAAGATTAGTGTTGTATCTTCTAGATAGGCAAGATATGCTCGTCGACCAATCCTTTGCAACTGCGTTGAAACCATTGAATCTGCAAAACATTGCGATCTTTTTAATCGAGAGATGGAGAAACGACAAAAGGTGCTTGATGTCCTTGTGCAAGTCAACACAAGCGCAGAAGACCAAAAAGGAGGTGAACTTGTGTTTTTTTTTCTTTTTCCCCATCTATCATACATTCTAGCGACTTCTTTTCACTGGAACTCACTGAATCATTTCAAGCTCCTGTACCTAGGCCGCGTTCATAGCTTGCGTTCGTGAAGAAATGCAGAAATGCGAAAATGCAGAAGTGCGGAATCTGCAGAAAAGCAATAGATACTGTCGACTTGAAGAAATGCAGAAGTGCGGAATGTGCAGAAGTGCGGAATCTGCAGAAAAGCAATAGATACTTATCGACTTCAAGAAATGCAGAAACGCCGAAAGTGAAGAAGTGCGGAATCTGCACAAATGCCGAAAGTGCGGGAAATCGATACGTATCGGTTGCTTTTCTGCACATTCCGCTTCGCATTTTTGCATTTTAACACACACCTGGTCTCTCTTAGATCCTGCACAGAGCCATACTCGGATGCAATAGATACTTATCGATCTTGGGGAAAGCAGAAATTTCAGGCATTTCTGCATTTCTTCAAGTCGATAAGTATCTATTGCTTTTCTGCAGATTCCGCACTTCTGCACTTTCCGCACTTCTGCATTTTCCGCATTTCTTCACGAACGCAAGCTATGAACGCGGCCTTAGCGTCGTTTTCTGTATATCTCAGCGTTGCCCAACTATTGCACCAGTTTCAGGATTGTCGGTAGAGGATGCACCTGATCTTGCTTGTTATATAGCAGATAGCTGTTCTAGCTTACGTTTTGCTGGATTTATGACTATTGGCTCATTTGATAACAGGTATTTGACTGAGTAGCGGTCACACACCGCGCATGCCTTACACTATTCACCCACCCCCCGGACACCTGGCAGTTGGCGCCCCACGACGCATAACGCAAACAGAGACCTCCTCGCGCCCCCGCCCACGCTCCACGACCGCTCCTCAAACTTTCAGGCGAATATAGATCTGTCGTCTGTACACGTTCGCACCTTATCATCCACAAATTCACCCCCCCACCTCGCCCGCTGGTACGATAAGAACAACCCAAACCCCCCGATCACTCACCCAGACCACGTTTCAAGTCCTCAGACCGGCCCCCACCCACCCACTCCCCCCCCCACTCCCGCAACAACACGCAGTCCTTCACCCGCCCCACCCTTCGCCCCTCCCAAACACTAACACCAGCCGTCCAGCCCCACCCCCACCACCCGCCCCGGCTCCCACCTCCCCCAATACATCGGGATGTAGAGTGTATTATAGAGTGTATATGCAAGTCATTCATACGTGCGGTTTGATAAAATGCGATTTCTAGCCATGTTGTGCCGAATCCTGATTTCGATCATCTGTATCAAGTCAGAGAAGCATGGGCAAAGAGATCGTCGCGATCCCCTGATGAGGTCGAACTTTCCATGGGTATGTCCGACGACTTCGAAACAGCCATTGCACAGGGAAGCACAAGCGTACGTGTTGGCAGCAAAATATTTGGGCCAAGATTGTACAAGTCCAACTGAGTAGTGTTAGAGAGCCAGGGCACGTCCTACGTTAGGGAACCTCCAGCGGGGTTCGTATTTGACCGCTGGAGGGAGTGGGATCGTACATGGCCTGAGAATTTTTTTAGGGTTGATTTTGCTGCTTCAGAGGCGCTTGAGAATTTCGATACAAGTGGTAGGGAGCTTGGCAGGGTAGTACCTAGAATGCGGAAGGGGGAGGGTCGTGGAAGAGGACGAAATTGGGGACAAGGAGGGGGTTGTATTTTCCGAAATCTTTCCCAAGCGGTAGAACGTGCCCTGTGGTGAGCGCAAAGGTGTATGTATTTTGTTTAGTCTCAAGCTCATTTATGGCCAGGACAATTGGTTTTTGCCATAAGTTTGATCAATTGTATAGTTCCGTAGAGATTTTTACGAGTTGTGAGTGCAAAAATAACGAGGTGAATTGAATCTTTGTTTACACAGTGAGTCAGTGGATGGATTTTGGAAACAGTAGTCATAATTAGTAGTCATAGTAGTTTTCCACAAATACAATGATGACTTCATTTGAAATATGCCAGTTTTGCTGTTTTGTAGTTACCTCGTAATGTTTCTGTCTTGGATCTTACCTTATTCATTGGTAGTTGTGATTCCGGTATTTGAATAAATCATTGCGTTTCATAGGTCGTTTCCAGTTTCCGTAATGATTTCGGTTCCCAGTGGAGTTCCTTTAACATGCCGAAGTTTATGAGCCAGGTTTTTCTTTCTTTCCAAAGCTACTTCGTTATCTTGAGGTGATCATCATCCATGCCATTCGTCAAGACAGACTTCGTAATCCCTTTGGATGAACTCAGGCGCGAGCCCACTGCAAGCAAAGAGCAAGAAGCCGGAGGGAGCAATTTTCGACCAGTATGTGAGTGCAGTGGCATTCCCTTTATTACAGGCCTTAGCATTAGTGGCAAATCTTTGAAAATTAGTCGTTTTTGTATTGCTGTAAGTGCATTTAGGTCTGAAGTGTCGCGTTTTTGAAGGCCCTAAAGGTTCCGCATACGCTGAGTTCGGCGGGACAAAAGTACTCGCGAGAGTGTAGGTTGAAACCGTCTTCATAACGAGTATGTGCCGTTGCCGTGTAGCTTTGATTACTCCTTTGATGTTCAGGTATGGCCCCAACGATGATCCCAACGGCGATTCAAACGCGGCATCGCTGTCGGTTAGTTGTGTGTTCACTTTTGGCGCAATTCGGCCTGGGGGGGGGGCAAATGGTATATAGTGAAGCTAGTCAGAGCACCTCGTGAAGAAGTAGTCAGAGCCACCTCGCTGAAGGAACTGTAAATTCGTGTGACTGACGTGACTCACATGTACGATTTCGCAGCGTTACAGACCTCACCAAAGTAGAACCTGTCAATTGTCAAGGCTAACAAAAGGAACTGGTAGTGAAGCTGCAAAAATGCCCCTCCAAGCGCGAAACAGCCCGGCATCTTCCATCTGTGTATGATTTAGAAGAGCCGTCTATTCTGACTTTTATAATATCGTTTTAGCTACAAAATGAAAGCATGGAAAATACAACCGAATTGCATCGACAAGGTTTATGTCTGTAATCAAGACACTGCGTAATCCGTCCAAACAAATGACAGTCACAGTGCTCGCTTATTGAATGAATCGAGGTAGGTTTAAGAGCAGCATATAATGCCTCAATAAATGCTGTTTCCCTCTAGACTGGGTGTACAGAACCCATCGTCATTCGGCGTGTATAGGGCGTCGTCCGAGGCCGACAGCGCGTGCCAGAACTAATTGTTTATTTCCAGATAGATTTAGTACTTTCCCAACTTTCACTGTTTATTTACTTATTTCCCACATATAGTAGCCTCCTATCTGCACAAGGTGAAAAATGAATATAGCTGAAGAAAAAAGCATAGTTCTGGCACGACTGCAAGGCCCTATTGACGACCCGCCCTAACACATAGCACACGGATGAACAGAGGCCGTTAATATGCCTAGTACAAATACAATTGGACAATAGATAATGACCGCAAGCCAAAGGTAATTTCCGAAAGTACAACATATTATTCCTATCGGATGAAAGGAGGGGCTAGCGTGACTATTATGCGAAGCGTATGAATATCGCGAATCCCGAATCACGTAGGTTCCAGCGGATCGCATCGAACGGACTATGAAACGCGCTAACTATACTTATTAAGTTTTAGTATATACAGGTAACCCGGGCTGAACTAAAAAGCGTTAGAGGGAGTGGCAAGATACAGTGCGCGTTAGCATGGCGACAACAATCTTAGCGCTGAGCGAATGCAATCAGTACAATTGTGATGATTTGCCTAATAGCGAGGATTAATTAAAATGGTCCCTTCTTTTTATATTATAATAACAGCGTTCAACTCCGCAGTTCGCGCCTGCCAAAAGTTAATTCATAAAGAAATGCTGAGATGTGGGCAAAGCTATGGCCGGCGAGTTTCAAACTCAGCCTTCATAAATGCTAATATAAACCTCACGGCTTTAACCCACCAGACCGCTACTCACCTACATCAGTCCATGGCTTATGCTATAGCTCACCATTATATGAGAGACATTAGGCGTAAATACGCGAAAGTGAGCCATAGGAAAAGACGCCTTCTATATGTTAATTGAACTTTTATTTATAGCGGTTCTGCATGTAAACGCACGAATAGAACCTCACGAAAAGCTATCAGCAGAAGGGTATTAGGTAAATCGGGAAAAAATGCAAGCGTATTAAGTTTAGGATATTTTTATTACAAAAACGAGAATTAAACAAGCATAAATTCAAAAAATAAAATCTCCAATTACTATCAGTGCTTGTTGGCAACGTTTAATGCTAAGAAGGATAGTCCTCTTCGAGAACGCGACGGCTGTACGTCACAGATTTGCACACACCCCAGAGTTGAGACTTCCCATCGCGCGATTGATGACTGAACTTCCTGCTCGAGACCAGGAGAGCTGGATGCCATCGACTGGAACAGATGGTAGTCGGATGGTGCCACGTCTGGGCTGTATGGCGGATGAGGCAGGACTCCCAACCCAATTCCCAATTTTTACTAAAGTGATTTTCGCGACATGTGGACGAGCGTTGTCGTGGAGAAGTTTTGTCGACGTCGTTTCGACTACCTTGACGACGTAGGCTGGATGCTTTTTTCTTAAAAAAACAAAGAGAGACTAGACAAGAATATATCAAAAGATGCGACAATAAAACCCTTTCCTAATAGACAAAAACAGTTAAAAAGAGTCTTGTGTCCTAAAGGCAGAAAATAAATTGACAAAATTCACAACGCGTATTCCTTTCCGAACAACCTAATAAATGGCGTCGCCGATAGCGCGATATCGCAGAAAGCGTCTGGTGCAAGTTTGAGTGCTGTTTGGGGCGAAGCTTCTGTCACTATTATACTTCAAGCACTCTATCGAACTTTACCCGCTAGTGTTCAACTTTCCGTTATTTTCTATATGGGTATCTGGTGCATTTGCATGAAAAATAACCTGACCAGGTTCTGGACGTCGTGGTAGCTGCACATGTGGCACGGACTCCTTCTGGTGACTGGATTGTGGATCCCAATTCCGAGCAGATTGTAAGCGGTTCTTCAGAGTGCACGTTAGCTCTTATGCCAAATCAAAATCAGGTCAGCCAGTTCTAGAAAAGAATTTCCGGCGAAGTTTCGATTTACACTTTTTCCAGATAGTTTGCTGTGATATGCGAGGGCACGGACTTACAAGTTCGCGAATAGACGAGTTCATTACTTTTGCCACCGATAAAGCAATGAAACTTTATCCGGTTCTACGAAAAGCGTTACTAAATACGCTCTCTGTAGAAGAAGCAAGCAGTTGTTGAACTGTTCTTCAATGTATCCGCAATGTAGTGACGGTTGTTTCGTATTGTGATGCCGTACAAAGAAGATTTATGAAAGTCGTATTTCCTGCGGATAAAGGGGCGTGCCAGTAGGCTGGGTTTGGCGCGCCGCGGGCCGGTTTATTGGAGGGGGTAAGCAACAACATCTGGCGGAAAACGACTGATACGAACGATACCATACAGATTTGTCGCTTTCCGAAAGGAAAAAAGAAGAGAAAGGGGACTGGCGTCGCGCCAAACCCATCCCCCTCCTTGGCACGCCCCATCATCCGCAGCGAACAAGACTTTGCTATCTTTGATCCTCACTCTCCGCTGTTGAACCAGTTGTCGGTAATCACATAGTGTTTTCTTAACGGAAAGGATATTCTGATAACGATGGCGACGGGCGCTATACTTTCCCGACTGTTAACAGAATGCTGAAAAAAATCCTATCAGCAGGCCATGCCTCACCGCGATTGTAATTACTTTTACAGGAATTGCTTGAAAGTTGTTGTTGTGAAGTGCGTTTTATGAACGTTGTTTGTTTTGTTTGTTATATTCTTAGATAAATATTTCTCATACAACGGAAGAAAGCAAAACATCTTTCTGATTAATATGCATATCATCGAGGCGGAGGTGATGTAGTGGCAAGTACCACGCTTACCACGCGCAAGGTATGGGGATCAAACCCCGGAATGGCTCCCGCCCACGCAATCCAAGCCCTCTATCATTGGAATGGCGAATTGGTACCAGATCCATTTGGGAGGATAAAAGAACGGACTTGTACCTCGTTTGGCCCACGTAAGTCACGGTAGAGGGCACATCGCATTCAATAGGCTACTGCTATTCGAATGGAAATACATAGAATATGTACTGTGTCTCACAAAGGGATTGATCAACGATGAAAACTTAATCCGTTATCCTTTACCAGTTTGGTTGACGCGCACGGTTCAGTCCATGGCTGTGACGTTGGTCCACCCCTTTTGAGGCCCCTTGTCAGCAGTTATCAGTCTCTGCCACCCAACAATTACGTTCGCGTCCAGCCCCTATACCACTTCTTGGAACCAACGTTCCACCGTTGCTATGACGCGAGTTAGGGATTTGGTGGCCCTCCCCTTTCAAGGCCCCTCGTTAGCCCCTATCAGCTGTCATCACTTCCTGCCACCCATCAGTAGTCCTGTATGAATACCTACATATCCTATCATTTGAAGCTCTCTACGACCAATTTGAAGACAGTTATGAATTTCTGGTCAAACACGTACCTGACCCACACACACTAACAACACTTATGGTTAGCGAATTATATGTAGTGAGGATCTTGGCTGGATAACCCGATATGCTATGGTACTTTGGCACCAAATCAGCTTAACGATGAGACGTTGGTGGGCGAATATCCGCGCACGTGACGCCAGTTGCAACGCAGTATCGCCCCTACATACACTGAAAATCGCTAGGATGCGGTAGGCGGGGCTGCGTACTTCATGAAACGTGGTGCTGGCTGTAATATTTCCATTTTAAGGCAATTGTGGTCGTTTCTTTGCCCAACACAGAATAAAATGACAGTTGTCTCAAGTTGAAATATTCTACGAGTAACCCATCCTGTGCCACGCCCACTCCGTCCCAGGGTTAAGGAGTGTAGATCTCTACACACGGCAATTCCATTTTCTCGGTCCAATCCGTCTGTTGCATCAGTATTGTACAAGAGGGTGGAGAGACCCTACATTATGCAAGAGAAACGATAACAGGTGGGAGAATGTCCGTGTTATTGTAACCGTGAACACAGGTAACGACAGCAGTTTATTTTGTAGATAAAACTCTCAACTCCACTGGACACTGTGCTTACATATCACTATACAAACAATGATCGCCAATGCTAGTGATATCACTGTAGTGTCTTCATTCTCCCCCATGAGATGAGCGCTAGGAGTGAGCCTTCTTCTTGAAGGCGTAAGACACGATAATTCGATACTCAGTCCAGCTAGTAGCAGGGGTGTTATATAGTGGGGGAAATGACGAAAAAGCGAAGCGAAACGATTAAAAAACCTGTAAAGAGCCTTTGTTCTACACGACTCAGAAAGCAATTCTGGTCCCAAGTTCCCCGTTGGCATCGTGCCAATACCCGCTACGGTAAATACGGCTGCACGTATGTACACTCCATATCTTGGAGTTGGAGAGGGTGTGGCCGTGTATTCCATCTGAACATCTCGTAGGGTGTGTTCTTCGTAGCATATTTCCGTCTGAGACAACTTGCATCCTGTATTGCACTGCACAACACATTATTATAATTTTCCAGAACTTTTTTCAATTCTCCAAATTCAAGAGCGTCTTGTTCAAATCAGGCATGCCACGCCCACCCCGTCTCC